TTTTAAAATACCTAAAATGCCCTTTAATTAAAATTTTAAGTCAAATTACCAAAGTTATTAGTTTTCTAATTTAACCAATGATTTGTGATTGAGATTGAATCTTACAGTTATCACAAACTAACCAGTTCTTCTTTGAATGACCCCCTATATCATTAATATATTTAAAAACTCATTATATAAATGACGATCAATGAATAAAAAATCATTTACGTGATACTCACTATAATAACATGTATGTTTTTATTTGCATACTAATAAATTGATTATAATGAATATAGTTAAATAAAATGAAGATAATGATTAATCAAGTCAATATAATATATTTTAGTTTACATGTAAAAAATCCTTACTGCAATCAATATACAATTAAACGAAATATTTATGATAATTGAATATTAATTATTATTACATGATACTCTTTTGTTATATAAGTAAATAACCATTGTCATCAATTATCATTTACATAAGATTAATTATATATTTTTTAATATTATTAGATGATTATTATCGGTTATTATTATTTATATAACACTCCTTATATTAAAAAAAACGAATATATGTACTAAATGATTAGTCACATGAGTTTCAATCATTTTCTTTAGCTGATTTTACATAAAATGATTGAAACCTTTTTTTCTGTACCAAGAAACCAAACAATGAAAAAAATAATATTAAGCGGATCGAAAAACCTTGAACAAGTCAAATGAAAATTTAAACAATTCAATCAGATTCGCATTTGCCTATAGCGGAAGTTGTCACAATACTAACGACTATTGTTACTCTTTGTGCAATGTAGTTTGGGAGAAAAGGGGGGTTTGGAGGTTTTTGGACAAAGTTGCAAACGAGTACATTACAAAAAAATGTAACAATATCCGCAACACTATATACAAAATTGGGTAATAATACCGCATTTGTGTGGTGCATGCAAATATTTTATGGAATTAAGCGTTTGATAAATGACCTCTTACTTAATACCCGAGAACTCTGATATTTATAAATATCTTTTTGTCATTTTGAAGCAACATTTTACATCTTCATTTTTGTTGACCAGAGGTGCTCTAGTTATACTCTGAAGTCTTCTTTTCCAGACTTGGTTCACTCGTGCTCTGAAGTCTGAACTCTGAAGTGTTCTTTTCCAAACATAGCTCACTCGAACTCTGGATCTCTGAAGACGAGTCTGCATATTTAGACTTCCATACTTGGCCCACGTTTCAATCAGTCCCACCAATTTATGATGCAATTGGTTTTATTCTTAGGTTAATTAATTTGTGTGGTAACTGATGAGTCGTGGAACTTTTATACAGATGGGCAAAGTAGGAGACCTAGAGGCTTTGCATGTACTATGCAGAGGCTATGTGTCTTGGAGTTGAGGTCTGTATCCGAGTACTTGGCTATTAGCACGCAAGACTACGGTCTTCATGCCCTCTGTGTCCAAGCTATGTATCTGAGCTTTGTGTCCGAGCTTTGTATCCAAGCTTTGTATCTGAGCTCTTGGTTCCAGGAAACTTCATGACTAAGTCCCCTTAGACTAAATAGTCTTAAATTATCGGGTTTGCCAAACCATAAGATATTACTAAAAGTTTGTGTTCTAGTAATGTTACTAAGGAATATTGATCAGAAATATGGGTTATGTAATGGAACTAGACTATGGGTGTTATCTTTGGGAAATCAGGTTATATAAGCAGAGATCATGTCTGGAAGCAATATTGGAAGCTGGACATTTATTCTGAGAATGTCTTTGACATCTACAGACAAAAGGATTTCATTCAAGTTTCAAATAAGACAATTTCCAATTGTTGTATGTTTTGTCATGACCATAAATAAAAGTCAGGGACAGTCATTATCAAGGGTTGATTTGTTTCTGAGACAACCAGGCTTTTCACTTGTATGTTGTTTTATCTAGAGTAAAAAGTAGGCAAGGTTTAAAAATATTAATTATAGATGATGATGGTATAATTAGCAATAGAACAAAGAAATTATATAAAAAGAAGTATTTGGTAATTTATGATACGTGGTTCTTATTTTATTAATATTTTAACTATGTACTTGTCCATAATTTCATTTACTTTCTATTATAAATTTTGTTTTACAAATTCTTAATATTTTTTTATATTTTTATTAATTTTTTACAAAATGCATAGAATGCGTTCCACAAGCTCTGGACCATCGACCTCTGATTTTGATCCTCTGGTTCATCTCTTCTCCATAGTGAATTCTGATCTTCGTGAGCTCTGGTCCGTGAGCTCTAATCTTTGATGTTTTGGTCGCAAGGAGCACCATATAGAGCCTCTGCATAGTACATGCAAAGCCTTTGGATTGCCTATACAGAGCTCAGAGCTCTGCATGAAGGCATTTCTGCTCCTTCTTGGTTTCTCTGGTCCACCTCTGATCCCCCCCCCCCCCCCCCTAGTCTTCTTTGATGCACGAATCAGCATAGAAGGTTTCTGTCCAGCAACATTGCATTGGCCTCTACAATGCTTCTGATCATGAAATATTTGGATTTTAGGAAAACTCAAAACATGAACATTGTAGATAAGTGTGTTAGTTGTCCATAGAGACTAGATTCAACTTCTCTGGAGCTCGGACGCATGAGATATGGTTGATTTAGCACAGACACGCAAATCTGTCAAGCAACTTCTGGTTCAACGTGTTACCTTTTGGTCGAGGACGTATAATGATCTGATACAGAGCTTTGGTCTTTCGATACAGAGAAGCTCTGGTTCTTCGGTTACAAAGCAGATTTGGCTCGATGCACAACAACTTTGCTTCAGCACACTACATTCAACTTCAACGATACGTCAATGATCATTCATATTTCTAATAAGTTTATTGACATGATTTAATTTTTTAAAATTACTCCGTATAATACACGGGTTTAACCTAGTTTATGTAATAAAGTAAAATGATAGGCAACGTATAAGCGGTAAAATCAATGAGTTAGGGAAGCTACAAAACATGTAAAACACGATTCGCTTCAAATTGGATTTAATCTACCAACAATTTTTCGTTCGCTTTTATGATTTTATAATAATTAAAATACAGAATGTAATCAGAAAAAGCACTACTAAAATAATAATCAATATTTTGTTATTTAATGGATAAATGTGTGGGGTCAAACTACAACATATATAGATTCTGATTAAGAGGGGTGCTTTGGGATCATTGAGTCTTAACCTCGTTTTTTGTCGCCATTAACTACCTCAGATCCCATATATAGTGTTTAATACGCATACATTATTGGATAGATACAAAACTGGATAGAACTGGACAGGACTAGACGGGACGAGATTGGATTGGACAGAACAAGTGTATGTCTAGTGTTTGGTACGACTAGGACTGCACGGGACAGAACTAAACAAGTTACCCTCAAAAGTTATTTGATGATTTTAAATATTATATAATAGGTATAATTAACGCAAATAAAGTAAATTATTAAAGAATTTCATTTATAAATATTTTTACACAATTTTCATATAAATGAACACATACATATATAATGGTACCATTTAAATGAAATTGATTGATATAATTGATGGTAGTAGTAGTGGTGGTGGAGGTGGTTTTGGTTATGGTGGAGGTGGTGGTGGCCGAAGGTAGTAATGACGATGGACGGTGGTGGTCGATGGTCGACGATGTTTATGGAGGTAGAGGCAGTGGTGGTTGGTGGATGACAGTTGTTATGGAGGACATGAAGATGGTGGATTATGGTTATGGTGGCAACTGACAACGGTGGATGAGGTAGTTGAGACTGATGTAGTGAAGATAGTAGTGGTGGTGGTTATAGTGGAGGTGTGGTGGCAATGGACGGTGGTGGTCGATGGTCGACGGTGGTTGTAGAGGTCGTAGAGGAGGTTGTTGTGGTATAGGAGGAGTTGGAGGTGGCCAACAGTGGTAATGGTGGTGGCAATGGGTGGTGGTGGTGGTGGTCGGTGGCCGATGGTGGTTGTAGAGGTGGCAATGGACAGTGGTGGTCGGTGGTCGACGGTGGTTGTGGAGGTCATGGAGGAGGTTGTTGCGGTATAAGAGGAGTTAGAAGTGGCTAATGGCGGTAGTGTTGGTGGCAATGGGTGGTGGTGGTCGGTGGCTGTAGAGGTGGCAATGGACGGTGGTTGTCGATGGTTGATGGTGGTTGTGGAGGTCGTGGAAGAGTTGGAGGTGGCGAATGGCGATAGTGGTAGTGTCAATGAAAAGTGATCGGTGGTCGACTATGGTAGAGGTGGCGATGGACAATGGTAGACGGTGGTTGTGCAAGCGGTGGAGGATGTTGTTGTAGTGGAAGAGGAGATAGAGGTGGAGGTGGCCACTGGTGACTAGGTCTATCGGTGGTGGCGGTGGCCGAAACTAGCGATGATGACCGTTAAAACAAATATCATATTAAGGTTGTATATCAAACTAGAGTAGATTAGTAGTATTTTAGTTTCTGTCTCATTATTGTCCTATCTTGTTCCACGAACTATGTTTTTACCAAACACTTATCAGTAAGATTCACTACTTTTCATTATCTTACTGACTAAGGAACCGTTTACCCAATTGCTTACCCGGTAAGCGCTTATTAATGGGAATCAACACTATGATTTATTCTGATGTGTAAGATTTTATTATATCAAAACATATTGAATGCAACAATTTAAGGGGTAAACACTTACTTGGGTAAGAGTCGTCATCATCACTTACCGGGTAAGACTTTCCATCATTTTCATTGCCCTTACCCGATAAGATTCTTGACCCTTCTCATGTTCATCCAATGAGAAAATTTATCCGGTAAGTAGTTACCAAGTAAGTGTTTAGTAAACGGCCCCTAAGATTCTCTGCCAAAAAATTGACATAAGGGCAATAATCTTACTTGATACCACCTTCACTTAGTATTATTGATTCTTGCATGTCTGTTATCGAATGAAATTCTCGCGGCCCTCATACTCACCTGATAAGACAAGTGACTTGATATGCATTTACCCATTAACATTATCAACCACACCCACAATCCATCCAACTCCAAAGGGTTTGTACAAGAAAACATCCAAGAAATTGATGATTCAGTGGTTTTAGCAACACCATTGTTATGTTAGTACAACCATACTTTCCTTCCTTCCTGCCTGCCTATTCATTACAATCACCACAAGAACAATATAACTTTTTTTCTTCCCTTTCTCTCTCTACAAACCTAAAACAACCTAACATCAACCAATATATCATACCAACAATGCATTATATATCACAAACCAATAATACCATCGTTTCATATCAAATCAAGCATTTATCTCTGAATTGCACTGCTGCTCCCTACTGCAGCTCCTCCTCCCCCAAAACATGCTCGAACAGCTCGTTTTTTCCACCCTCAGCGACCCCAATTTCCCATCCTCTCCTGACCCTGACCCTGACCCTGAGCTGTTTCGATGGGGAGCTGACCCATCTTCACCCTCGTCGTCTCTTGTTTCAGAAGAGGGGCAAGTCCCATCGTTGCAGGTGCATAACGGAATAGCAACCGAAGGAAAAGGGCTGCAAGTTACTGGGCAAAATAATTCTGGAGATACAGAAGCAACACGATTCTTGCTAATCTCTGTTGGTGTAGACTCGGCTGGTTCTCGAGGGTGAAGCATGCAGGGGGTACAGAATCCAAGGGAAAGATGTAGTTTGATTTCCTTTGCTGGAGAGCCCGGCAATCTGGAAAAAGAAATGATGCCATGGCGGCAAAGGGGGCAAGGAATGGATCCAGGTGGACCTAATAATTCACAAGGGTTGTTGCTTGTTGAGCACAGGTAAAGGGCGCATCTCACACATAGTTCGTGCCTGCATCCTGAAAGCAAATGCATTTAAGCGTTAGATTTTTCTTGAATATTACTTTTGAACACAGAAATATGCCGTCGTATCTACTTTCCAATTTTACCCTTAATTATGAAATGGAGAGATTCATTACTTGCTTTAATTATTAAGGGTAAAATTGTCATTTCGTTAACTAAAAGAGTAATAATTACACATTTCTAAAGCCATGTGCCTTTTTCATTATGGACATCGAGTATATGATTTAGCTAGCATTCTTTAGCTAATCAAATAATCAACACATGTTATTCCTAGCAACATTAAACTTATCCCATTAGGCAAGAGATCTTGACACAGGCTATGACCTTCGCAAAGATCGTTTTGTAACTGATGTTAAACAAATGGAAACTTACAAGGTTCACAGATACATTTTATGCCTTCTATCGTCATTATATCAACAAAAAGTTACCGATTTGGGGAATCTTGGTTCGGAAAAAACACATCATTAACTGGACCTTGAATCACGATGTTTTCTTGTATGGATGATCAACCACATCAAGAATTTCAAGTATAAGGGAAGTCAGAAAAGACTAATTAACAATTCCACGAGTGTTCGTTTTACGAATCATATGCAACAGGCAGAAGATCGTTGCAGAAGCTGACACTGTATTGCTAACTTTAATTAAGAAACTCTTTAAAGTCTCCATTTCTTCTAAACCAATATGTTCATGTTCTGTCTTCCGTAGTCCAGTTCTTAGAACTGACTAGATCTACCTATAGGTAATTTTTAAGTATTCAGAGCCCATATGACCGGAAGTGCAACTTTGTAACATAATTCTTAGGACACAAAAATACAATTGAAACAAGAAGTAAATATGTTAAGATAGCAAACCTTCAGCAGCTACTGTGCAAGCTCTCTCCAGGCAGACAGCACAAATATCAGTGTCATCAGAAAGACTAGCTGAGGACTGCAAACCACACTCTCTGCACATCATTACCACAGGTTAATTCCTAATAGACCCCACATGCCAAAATCTCATTTGATCATTCACAAATATGTTGCAAACTTAAAAGTAGTAAAAGCATGCAACCCAAGTTTCTTAATTGATTGTTAGCTGACTGATTAACTAAACCTGTTAACTTTTACTTTGAACCACCTCCTGTTTCCTCATATTTTATCATGGTTGCCTCCAAAAATAAAGTAAACGTGCAAGAGAAAGCACATGTCTTGCCTTCAAATCCGAGACTCAAATTTCATTAACACTCAAGTACCCAGATTAAAGCAACATCTGAAGTTTACTAGGATTATGCACATTGATGATTCTGACCTTTTCAAAATCTGGTTCATCTTATTTCTTTTAACTTTCTACAACTACTTCAAACATAGAACGAAATGGTCGTCTATTTACACCTAAAAGCAACCGTTGTGATAAACCCCCAGTTTGGTTCACATATAGGAGAAGGTCAAAGCATTGATCAGTAGTGGATTTGTGTGTGTTAGCTCTTTTCTTCCAGCTCCTTCCTTTATGTTTGAATAATGTTGCTTGTCAAGGTATTTCCGGTATTTGGTGGGGAGGGGGTTCTTTTGGGGATTCATTATGTTCCTTTTTCTGAAATTTTAACTTGAGCATTTGGTCTGGGAGAGTCCATGGCCTCTCGAATGCCATTGGGGTTACTTTTCTTGTGAAATTCAATCCACACCCGACAATCAGATCCAGTGTACAACAAATTGGTATCAGCAGCCACGATCCAGGAATGGCGACTCGTAGTATGCAACCAGGGTGGACGATTTGGAGAGTAGCGTCGGATTGATCAAAAAAGGAATGCAATTGATTATGCAACAGATGGAGAGAATCGTTAAGCAACAAGATGAAGTAGCTAGCAAATTGATTTCAGCTCAGTCGTCGGATGGTGAGACGCATCAGGATCGGGAGGAAAAGAAAAGTAGTGTGGAGATAGTCATGATCCTAATCGATTTTTGGCGGTAAAAGGGAGAAAACTGGATATTTCAGCATTCAACGGGAAGGATCCAGATGGCTGGATTCTTAGGGCTGAAAGGTATTTTTTGTTAAACCAAGTGAGTCCAGGGGAACAGATTGACGTGTCATTTATAGCTTCCAAACGTGATGCTTTGAGGTGTTTCAATGGGAGAATAAGTGACATCCAATTACGAGGTGGGAGGATTTGAAGCGTCTAATTTTACGTCAATTTAGATCACTTGCTTCGGGCTCCCTGCGTGAGCAATTTCTGGCAGTGAACAGGAGAGTTCAACTGATGAATATTGCTAGAAATTCGTTGAGTTCGCTGCTCCTTTGGATGGAATTCCTGAAGAAGTGTTCCTTAGCCAATTCATTAATGGATTGGAAAACTCGATTAAAGCAGAACTACGCTTAATGAATCCAATGTCGTTGTGTGAAGTGAAGGAGATTGCTTCAAAAATCGAAGTGAGAAATAGAATGACTGGTAGAGCCTGATCTATGTATTTTGGAAAGAAGAGTTCGAATCTATTCTCTGAAGTTAAAAAGCAGTGCGTCGAACTCAGTCACACATCTTACAGTGAGTGATAACTAGGGATCGGAGTTTAGGAGGTTGTCGGATCAGGAAGTGCAGCAGAGGAGATCACTGGGACTTTGTTACAGGTGTGATGAGAAGTATTCTCCAGGCCATAAATGTAAGAAGAGATAGAGAGAGTAATGAATGTGATTTTAGTCCAAGAGGAAGCTGAGGATGAGACAAATTCTGAGGATGAAGAGAAATCGCTGAACACAGCAGATGTAAGGGATGTAGGACAGAAGGGAGGTCCATTTAAACTCGGTAGTTGGCCTAACAAATCCGAAATCGATGAAGATGGAAGGGATTATTGAAAATCAGAAAGTGGTGGTGCTAGTTGATAGTGGAGCCACTTATTATTCTATTTCAAAAGAGGTGGTCGGGAAGTTAAATCTAGAAGTGGAAACACGAAGGAGTACACAATCACTATGGGAACCGGTAATATGGTGAAAGGGGAAGGTATTTGCAGGGGAATTACCTTATCGTTGCAGAGTTTGGACATTAAGGAGGATTTTCTGCTATAAAGTTGGGTAATAGTGATGTCATTTAGGAGTATAATGGCTGGAGACTTTAGGGGCAACCTTTACTAGCTGGAAGCAGCAGGTCTTGAAATTTACAATTGGAGGAAAATCGGTCACTATTAAAGGGGAACCATCGTTGGGAAGGTCCAAAGTATCTTTGAAAGCTATGGGAAAGGTGATTCACAGTGTTACAGAGTTTTGGTGGAGTTGGGATCATGTGGGGAAAAAATGTAGTTGTAGAAGGAGATGATGTTCTTGAACCATTGTTACAGGAATATGTCGTGTGTTTAAGATGCCGCAGGGTCTTCCTCCGTTGAGAGGAAGGAGCACGGGATGGTCTTGAAAGAGGGTTATGGTCCAGTTAATCTGAGACCCTACAGATACCCGCATTATCAGAAGGACGAGATTGACAAATTGGTCAAGGAGATGTTAGAGGCTGGGTTAATTCAGCCGAGTGCTAGCCCTTTCTCAAGTCCTGTTTTGCTGGTTAAAAAAAAAGATGGTAGCTGGAGGTTCTGCATTGATTACAGAGCTTTGAATAAAGCTACAGTAGTGGATAAGTTTCCGATTTCAGTAACAGAAGAGTTAGTGGACGAACTATTTGGTGCTCGGGTGTTTTTGAAACTGGATCTGGAGTCTGGATACCATTAGATACAGATGAAGGAGGGGGACATTTAGAAAACCGCATTTAGCACACACCAGGGGCATTATGAATTCCTTGTAATGCCCTTTGGATTAGTCAATGCACCTGCTACGTTCCAAGGATTAATGAATAAGGTATTCAAAAGTTCCTTATGCAAGTTCGTATCGGTGTTTTTGATGATATATTAGTATACAGTAGATCTATGGAGGAACTTAAGTCATTTGAAGTTAGTATTTGAAGTGTTAGACCAACATCAATTATTTGCCAACAAAAAGAAAATGTGAGTTTGACCGTAGTAGACTCGGTTATTTGGGGCACGTCATTTCTGGACAGAGTGTGGAGATCGATGAGTCAAAGAGTAAGGCCATAGTTGACTGGAAAGTGCCCGAAATGATAACTGAATTAAGAGGATTTCTTGGTTTATCCGGATACCATCGGAAACTTATTAAGAGATATGGGATGTTGGCAGCACCTATTTATTAGAAAAGAATCAATTCCTATGGTCTGAGGTGGCTCAATCAGCTTTTGAAGATCATAAAAAAAAAAAGGCTGTCTACTGCACTGGTTCTACGATTACCTGATTTCTCGGCAGATTTTGTGATCGAAACTGATGCGTCAGGATATGGTTTGGAGGCTGTCTTAATGCAAAATGAGCAACCGATTGCATTCTTTAGCCAAGCCTTGGGGATGAGAGCAAAACAGAAGTCTGTTTATGAGAAAGAATTAATGGCCATTGTGTTTGCTGTCCGGAAATGTAGGCCATATTTGTTGGGAAAACATTTTATCGTATGCAGTGATCACAGGAGCCTTCATTTTCTGTTAGAGCAGAGAGTCGTTGAGCCAGAATACCAGAAATGGGTTAGCAAGTTATTGGGATACAATTTCTCTACTGTTCATAAACCAAGAAAGACTAACCGAGCTGCTGATGCTCTGTCATGAAAAGTAAAAGATGCTGAGTGTTCAAGCTTGGTAGGTCCTCAATGGCGACAATGGCACAGCTTGAAACAAGAGACTAAAAGTGATGATTTTTTAATGAAAATCAAGATCGATTTGTTAGTGATAGTTCTGCCCATAAAGGAGTTGATTTGCAACAGGGTCTACTGATGTTTAAAGGCAGGTTAGTAATACTCAGAAAGTCAAAAATGACCCCTTTATTATTTGAAGAATTCCATGGGTCTCCTATTGGTGGACATGCGGGTGAAGACCAATCTTATCAGAGGATTGCGGCTGAGGTTTTATGGGTTGGTATGAGAAAGGATATTGCTGATTTTGGTCAGGCAGTGTGAAACCTGTCAAAGAAGTAAAAGTTTAACAGGTTTCCCAGCAGGATTGTTGCAACCCCTTATCCCTACCGACTACTGTATGGGATGAGGTCTCGATGGATTTTATTGAAGGCTTACCTCGATCGTGTGGAATGAGTTCACTCCTGGTAGTAGTGGATCGTTTCAGTAAGTATGCCCATTTTATTGGGCTAAAGCATCCTTTCAATGCTCAATCGGTGGCTGAAATTTTTGTCAGAGAGATCATTCGGCTTCACGGTGTTCCTCAATCCATGGTGTCGGACAGAGATAAGGTGTTTTGAGCTTTTAAGTCTATTTTGGAAAGAGCTATTCAAACTTCAAGGAACTAAGTTGAAATTTAGTTCGGCGCATCAACCGCAATCGGACGGCCAAACCGAAGTGGTCAATAGGTGTTTGGAACAATATTTGAGGTGTTGGGTATCAGACAGGCCAAAACAGTGGAGTAAATGGCTATTGTGGGCTGAACTCTCCTATAACACTTCTTATCACACTTCCTTTGAATGTTCTCCATTTCGGGTGCTATATGGCAGGGATCCACCATCATTATTATGACATAAGGAGGCTTCTTCTAAATTACAGTCCGTACAGCAAAAGTTGTTGAATCGAGAAGAGATTTGGGACGAGGTGCAGATGCATTTGTTGAAGGCTCAATGCCGGATGAAACAACAAGCGCACTTAAAGAGGAAAGATGTTCCTTTTTCTCCTAGGGATTAGGTGTTCTTGAAGTTACGACCGTAAAGACAGAAATTGTTAGTAAGTGGGAGCAATCCTAAACTTTTAGCTAGATTTTACGGTCCGTATAAAATCTTGGAGCAGATTGGGAAGGTCGCGTATAGGCTAGAACTACCACAAGACGCCAAGATACATCCAGTTTTCCATGTATCTCAGCTAAGGCAAGCTGTTAGAAGTTGCAATTCTATCAAAGAAATCCCTCAACAACTCACTGAAGAGTCAGAATTAAAAGCAGAATCCCGGAGGATATTTTGGATGTTTGTCCATGGTTAAGGGTGATCCTGGTCAATTGGAGGTATTGGTTAAATGGGAGAGTCCATGGCCTCTCGAATGCCATTAGGGTTATTTTTCTTGTGAAATTCAATCCACAGCCAACAATCAGATGCAGTGTGCAACAAGTTGATGGTTCAATAAAACAAGTAGAGTTCAATTTGAAAGGATTGAAGGTATATCATAATCCTAAAACAGTTTGGGACAGGGTTTCTTGAATAGAGATTCCCATTTTCAAAGCTGGTTTATAAATTTCATAGTGAATGGAGTCGACGCATCCAATAGTTCAGACCTAGTCGTAGAACTCCTTGACATAATAAATCAACAATTTAAATCAGGGATCTCTACCATTAACCCCCGAAAACACACAAATATATGTGCTTTCACAAATACAGTTGTAACTTTTAACTAAAGTTCCACCACTTGGGGACAATAAATATCAGATTACCAAGAGTTCATAATGCATCTAATTCATGTATAATAAGTAGAGATGGTTAGTTGTGAATACCTAGCTATGTTCAGTACACTCATGAGAGGCAATGATAAATAATTAGATGGGGGGAACATGGGTATTGCCAGGTCAGAATTTGGTGCCAATAATGGTTCAAGCCAATGACGTCCCCACATTCTCGCAACATCAAGTGGAAGCCACCTGAAATAGCATAAAAGTTTTCATGAACAACACCACATAGAGAGTGGCACAAACTAGCAAATAGGAACTAGTAACAGGCCCAAAAATACAAAAAACAACTGTACCCATTGCAGTTTAATGTCAAACGACTAGCACCTCTTGCAAGTAGAATCTGAAATAATTTAAGGCAAATATATTAACATGCACAATAAGAGAATATATTTAGAATAATGTCATCAAGATGATATGATAAAGTAATATTTACCTGACAGCATTTTAAATTTCCACCACAAGAGGCGTAGTGCAAAGGAGTACTTCCAGCCCCTACAAAACAATGCAAGAAAGGATACAAATGGAAGGTAGAGCAAAGTAGCATGACGTACAATTTATTAAATCTCAAATGGCCAACATACCTATCAAATCCATAGATGTTCCATAATGGAAAGTCACAGCTGACATGTTTGCATGTAGATCTAGAAGAAGCTGTACACAATCAGCATACCCGTTTAACGCAGCCATGTGAAGAGCCGTTATACCACCATCAGCAGCTTTATTTACAAATTTCACCAGTGCGCTACAATGACCAAAAATATGATATCATTCAAATAACTGATTGATGGTTAGATGTTCATAATGTAAGTTAATCCCCATTTTCTTGAACTGAATAAATACTGAACCAAAAGGCGACCCATGCATTTAGCAAGGAGGTTGTATCTGTAGCACAAACGAATGGCATTCTTGTCACAAAGGAGTAACTATACCACTACAGCCATCTTCTTAAACACCATTTGCATCAAAATAATTAATTTAAGACCATGATTATCTACATAATGTAGAGAACTCTGTAACTAATTCCAAACCTTTGGTCATATTTGTTTTTGGGACCATTGCCTCCATCACCATGCACTTGTGCATCTATAGCTTCAAAGGGAACACTAGGCACAAAATCAGCTACAACAAGTCGTATGCAGCGTACATGCCCATTCACAGCTGCGAAATGGAGAGCAGTTCTCCCACTAAGATAGTCAGCCCTCGTAACCTAAAATACACAAATTGCAGCAATCAGATATGTCTATTTATTCACCACTGTATTCTCTAGCCCAATAGAATTAGTAAGGTTAACTTACATTGCATCTAAAGAGCAGAAGGGTTTGAACAACTTCCCAGTGCCCATAGCGACAAGCTTGCATCAACGCTGTCTACAGATCTCACAAATACACAACAATTCAATGATCAAAGAAACTCACAAAGGTCCACCTCCATATTTCCGCACTAGTTCCTAGATTAAAAGGTTGCGGGTCCAGAATCTTCAAACAAGCAACTATCTATGCTACTCAAGGCAAACTTTAGTTGATCTTCAGGCCGATCATGTTACCAAAAAAAATTATGTGTGTGTGTAAATTTCAATAGTTTTTAAACAGATTAATGAAAATAGGATATCAAAATCAAGTTATCTGATCACAACGATTCCTAGAATTCACATCAGCTGAATACTTAGGGTTTAAGACCTTGAACTAAATGGCTTGGAAGCAAAATCAGATTAAAATTTGAACTAAAATACCTTCAATTCCAATACAAAAAGGGTCGATAAAAAACGACCTTAAAATTCTTTTTGCTCTAGAATCTTCAATTACACTAACAGAACCGAAATTGAGCTGATCTTCAGAAAGATCACACTATGATAGATCCTATATATAAGTTATATGCATACACACTTAGCGACCGAAATCAAGATTGTTACCTGACCACAATAATTCCTCGAATTAACATCAGCTCCATTATCAAGCAACAATGCAACAATCTACAAATTAAAAAAAAGAGGCAGAAGCAGTAAGAAGTAGTTGTAAACACACAGAAAACGAATCAAAGAGAGAGAGATAAAATGTAATTGTACATCGTTGTGGCCTTTAGCAGCGGCAAAGTGAAGAGGAGAATTAAGGCCACCAAAAGTGGAGTATTTGGCAAGACAAGGGTTACAATCAAGCAACATCTTAGCCTCAACGAAATCTCCATCTCTGGCCGCCGATACCAATCGCTCTCCGGAGGCGGAGCACCCAAAGGAATTACCCATTTCCCCCCGATTCTTATGGATCGGAAATCAAAAGGGTATATAAAGGAAAGAAATGGTTATGGGGGTTTAACTTGTAAGAGTAGAAATTAGGTCAACTGTCAGTATGTTGTAGAAAAATCGAAAATCAGGGGAATATGGGAAGAATCAAAATCCAAAAGAGATGAGATGATGACAAATTGGTAAAAGGGTAGTCCTTCAAGGGGAAGGGGAAGGGGATCAGGGGCTCTCTGTGTTGTTGGATGCAGGTCCTTCACCCTCACCTCACCATAAATCTTCTTCCTCTTCAATGCTACCTAATATTTTTAGCCTTTTCCAAATATGTGTTTCCTTTTTTAACGAAAAAAAGAAAATGTTATGTGTGGACATAATCCAATCATGCACTAAATAAATCTACATTACAAAACCATCAAACTTAGAATGGATTAAAACAAATTACATCTGAGTTCAGATTGTACGTATCTCGATTAATTTTTTTATAGTTTTGAAGAATAATCTTTGTTGTCTTGCAAGATTCGAAGATCAGTTGATGTTGTGGTATGACGAAGATTTGGATAAGGTAAAGATCAGTAGTCATTCAGGATTTTTGGTAACAAAGGTTTGTCCATAGGTGGTTTTATAGATGGTTAATTGATTGATTTTCGGACGGCTCTCAACTTTTAGCATGTTTGAATCGGTCTCTTTGTAATAGTTCAGGTCTACAGGATAACAAACGAGAATTGATTATAATCAACCAACTGATCTCCTCATATGTTATTCATTCCAGTCAAAAAAAAAATTTATCTAATTATAAATTAAAATAAAAAACATAATCTTCTAAACATCACATTGTGTATGGAAAGAGTTCATTTGAAACATATGTTGACAATATGTAACAACCCACAATTTCCACCATACAGATAATCCACATGATATTACTCATAACACAAAATGTAACATCGTTTACAAAATACAGATTAACAAAAAACTTCCTTTGATACATTTATGAATAACTAAAAGTCATCAATTCTAAACTTTTCTCTTGCCTCTACCCTGCGAAGTATGATGACCTGCAAAACAGGTTAGTCCAACAACTGAGCGTTAGACCCAAAAGGTCTAGTGAGTGTATATAACTCATACCAACAACATACTTTCTAAACTAGTAGTTTAGAATCAAACATGTATATCACAAACATTTTATCTATATCTATCACATATCTTTTTATCTCTCTCGCGGTTACACCGTCATTTCATCTCTCTCGCGGTTACACCGCCATTTCATCTCTTTCTCAGTTACACCGCCATTTCATCTCTCGCGTGGTTACACCGCCATTTCATCTCTCTCGCGGTTACACCGCCATTATCTCTCCCGAGAAATTTCATATCAAAAGCTTCAACACATTAGCCGGATTTGAAGTCCGGTCAACCTTGTCCGGATATGAAATCCGGACAATTACTTAGAGCAGAAAAAGATAAATCGGACATTGCTTGAGCGGTTTAGCTCTTAATCCGGTTAACACTTGAGCGGTTTAAGAAAATATCCGGACAACACTTGGGAGGTTTAAGGAGATATCCGGACAACACTTGGGCGGTTTAAGAATAAACCGGTCAACACTTGGGCGGTTTAAGAAGATATCCAGACAACACTTGGGCGGTTTAAGAATAAATCGGTCAACACTTGGGCGGTTTAAGGAAAATATCCGGTCAACTCTTGAGCAGTTTAGATGAAATCCGAATAATATATGAAACATAATAAACCGTTTCAAACAGTTACAATTGTTATACCACAATTGATACATCAAAGCATAAAACACTCACCTTATAAAAATGATCGGATTAAGCCCGCAATTGTCCTTCAGCCCTTTNACCTGCAAAACAGGTTAGTCCAACAACTGAGCGTTAGACCCAAAAGGTCTAGTGAGTGTATATAACTCATACCAACAACATACTTTCTAAACTAGCACTTTAGAATCAAACTTGTATATCACAAACATTTTATCTATATCTATCACATATTTTTTTATCTCTCTCGTGGTTACACCGTCATTTCATCTCTCGCGCGGTTACACCGCCATTTCATCTCTCGCGCGGTTACACCGCCATATCATCTTTCGTGCGGTTACACCGCCATTTCATCTCTCTCGAGAAATTTCATATCAAAAGCTTCAACACATTAGTCGGATTTGAAGTTCGGTCAACCTTGTCCGGATATGAAATCAGGACAATTACTTAGAGTAGAAAAAGATAAATCGGACATAGCTTGAGCGGTTTAGCTCTTAATCCGGTTAACACTTGAGCGGTTTAAGAAAATATCCGGACAATACTTGAGCGGTTTAAGAATAAACCGGTCAACACTTGGGCGGTTTAAGAAGATATCCAGACAACACTTGGGCGGTTTAAGAAGATATCCGGACAACACTTGGGCGGTTTAAGAATAAACCGATCAACACTTGGGCGGTTTAAGAATAAACCGGTCAACACTTGGGCGGTTTAAGGAAAATATCCGGTCAACTTTTGAGCGGTTTAGATGAAATCCGAATAATATATGAAACATAATAAACCATTTCAAACAATTACAATTGTTATACCACAATTGATACATCAAAGCATAAAACACTCACCTTATAAAAATGATCGGATTAAGCCCGCAATTGTCCTTCAGCCTTTTCTCTCAATATGTGCAGAAAATTCTCCAAAAACAAAAACCCCCTTTCTTTTTACATACACTTGCTCTAAATAGCAATTGTATAGCCGCCCCTCAAAGGTCGGCTAACAAAGCTACATCACCCACACCCACACACTTCTACATAAATACAAATATTATATATATATATATATATATATATATATTCCAAAAATCTTAATTCAAAACTCGAAACCCGAATATTACAATATTCTCTCCTTAAAAGAATTCCGTCCCAGAATTCTATTTAAGCAAAAAGGTAGGGATACTTCATCTGTATCTCTGATTCTGATTCCCAAGTGGCGTCTGGTCCTTTGTGATAACGCCACTGAACCTTCACTAACCCAACCTCTTTATTTCGCAACTTCTTTAATTTGAAGTCAGTAATCCGTTCAGGGGTTTCTTCAAAGCACAATCTTTCGTCCACCTTTATTTCGGGTAGTGGCACTGCCACATCTGGAATTATTAGACACTTCCTTAAATTCGACACATGAAATGTGTCATGGATTCCATTTAGCTCTAAAGGAAGTTCTAACTTATAAGCCACTTCCCCAACTCTTCCAATAATAGGGAATGGTCCAACATATTTTGGACTTAACTTCCCTCTTTTTCCAAAACGTACCATTCCTTTCCAAGGTGATACTTTTAACATCACTCTATCACCCACTTGAAACTCAATCGGCTTCCGACGTTTATCTGCATAACTTCTTTGTCTATCTTGTGCCGCTTTTATTCGTTCCTGTATTACTCCAATTTTATCTGCAGTTTGTTGAACTAACTCAGGCCCAGCCAGCTGTTTTGGACCTATTTCATTCCAACACAATGGAGTTTGACATTTTTGCCCATACAGAACCTCGAAAGGTGCTGCCTGAATACTTGAATGGTAACTATTGTTGTATGCAAATTCCACCAGAGCCAAATGACTAACCCATGACCCTCCAAAATYAATGACACATGCTCTTAGCATATCTTCTAAAGTTTGGATAGTTCGTTCACTTTGTCCATCAGTTTGAGGGTGATAAGTTGTACTTAACTTAATCTGGGAACCCATTTCTCTTTGAAATCTCTTCCAAAACATGGATGTGAACCGACTATCTCTATCAAAAATAATTGACAGAGGAACACCATGTCGTGTCACTACCTCATCAATGTATAGTTTTGCCAATCTCTCCATTGAATATGACTCTTTCATAGGTAAGAAGTGAGCAGATTTAGACAACCGATCTACTATTACCTATATAGCATCATAACCTTTTGATGTTCTCGGTAATTTGATTATGAAATCCATAGTGATGTGATCTCACTTCCATACTGGAATTTCTAATGATTTTAACTTACCATAAGGGTGTTGGTGTTCAATTTTTACCTGAAGACATGTTAGACATTGCTCAACATGTCTAACTATATCCTTCTTCATATCTGGCCACCAATAGTGTTGTTTCAAATCCCGATACATTTTATTTGTACCTGGATGAATTGCAAAACGTGACTTATGAGCCTCACCCAAAATACGTTTTCTGAGATCACCATAGCATGGTACCCAAATTCTGTTCTGGAATTTCCAAAATTCTCTGTCATCTTTTACCAAATTAGAAATTAATCCACTCAATCTTTCCTGTTTGATCTTATCCTTTTTCATTGCCTCATATTGAAATTCTCGTAACTCTTCTTGAATACTGGGTAACAACACAACTCGTAAAGCTATAGCTTTGATAGTTCCCCTTTTCTCTTGTCGACTTAACGCATCGGCCACTACGTTTGCCTTTCTTGGATGATATAAAATTTCACAATCATAATCACTTATCAATTCCAACCATCTTCTCTAACGCATATTCAGATTTTTCTGATGGAACAGATGTTGCAAGCTCTTATGATCTGTGAAGATTTGACATTTTGTTCCATACAAATAATGTCTCCATATCTTCAAAGCAAACACTACTGCCGCCAATTCCATATCATGAGTAGGATACTGCCTTTCATGATCTTTTAATTGTCTTAAAGCATAAGCTATTACCTTTCCACATTGCATTAATACACAACCCAAACCCATCTTTTATGCATCACTATATACCATAAAATCTTCCATTCCATCTGGCAAAGATAGAATTGGTGCACTACATAACTTATCTTTTAACATCTGAAAGGCTTGAGCTTGTGCTTCATCCCACTCATATTTCACATTCTTCTTAGTCAGCTTCGTTAATGGAGTAGCTATACGAGAAAAATCTTGTATAAACTTACGATAATACCCAGCCAATCCAAGAAAACTTCTGATTTCAGTTGGAGTCTTTGGGGCTTCCCATTTTTCAATGGCTTCAATCTTCAAAGGATCCACTTTGATGCCTTCTTTTGAGATAACATGCCCCCAAAATTGAACTTCTCGTAGCCAAAATTCACACTTTGATATTTTGGCATACAATCTCTCTTGTTTCAACAATTCCAGAAGTAATCTCAAATGATGAGCATGCTCTTCTTCTGATCGAGAATATATCAGAATATCATCAATGAATACAATCACAAATTTATCAAAATAGAGACGACACACCCTATTCATCATGTCCATAAATGTTGCAGGTGCATTTGTGAGTCCAAACGGCATAACCCGA